CCCACACACACACACACGCCTGCCTGCCTGCCTGTGTGTGCGTGTGTGTCCATCCCGTCTATCAGGTGACGAGCTGACGATGTCCGAGGTAGCGTCAGCGTTCGGCGAGTCGATGGGCGAGGATGTGCGGTACAAGCACACCAAGCTCTACAAGCTCATCGCCCGCCTCCTCAACCGCAACCTCTACAACTTCATTCGCTTCTACGAGGGCGAGCCATACCGAGCCGCCATCCAACAACTCACCAACGAGCGGGCCGACGGCGGATTCCCAGAGCTGTGGAGCTTCAGTAAGTTCCTGGCACAGACGCAGTGGGCCGACAAGAACAGGTCGCTCAAGAACCTGTGAGGGATTTGTGCTCTGTGGTTGTGTGTAACCGAATTGAGGAAAGAGAGAGTGTTTGTCGGTAAGGCAGGCAGAGCGACGGCATAGCGCATGTAGGGCACTGTTGGTGCTGTATGTGTTCGTAGCGAGCTCTCGTCGAGTAGATAGAGGGGGCAGGGTAGAGAGAGGGAGGGAAGCTGTGTTTTTTCCCTTGCCTGGTCGGTAGGAAGGTGTGTGTATACCGATTCTGCCTCTCTCTGTCTTCTGTGTGGTTTCAGTCCGGCGCAGTCGAGCGCAAACTTGAGAGGAGGATAAGATCAGCCAGCTCTTCTTTTTCGTGGCCGGATATGTATCTGTGTGTGTGTGTGTGTGTGTGTGTGCGTGAGAGGGGCGAGAGGCAGTTGGTTGGGTATGGGTGTGTACAGACCGTCTGCACGTGGGTCGATTCGATTTAAGTACCAGGGCTGGCCTGGCTGCAGGCTGGTGCCCCCCTGCCTCCCTCACACCTCCTCGCTCTCTATCCCCTCCTCTCTCCCGTGTGTAAGCGATGCCTACACACCTCCCTCCCTGTGGATACATTTGTTTGTTTCTGTCACGTAACGACCTGCCTGTGAGAGCGGGCAACGGCTCACTGACTGTGAGGGGTTTTCGATAGGGACGGACACGAGTGAACAGCTGTGTGAGTGTGTGTGTTATGTATACTACCCAATCTGACAGAAAGATTGATCGGACTCGTGTCTGTCTGTTCTGTCTGTCTGTGACGGCCATTTCTTCAGTAGTACCTCAATGGATAGATTGCACACACGCATACCACGCAGGCAGGAAAACAGAGCCAGTCAGCCACTGACTGACTGACTGACCATGGAAAGAAAGAGCCCGGGCAAACACAATGAATGCGGCTGCTGATTCGTGAGTGCTTTGATGTCGTTGTGATGGACGGACAAGTTGATGCCGTCCATCACAGCGACATCAAGCCATTCACGAATCAGCACGCATGTGTCCGACACATACATGGCTGACAAATAAATGTGACATCTCACTCACTCTCTCTGAAGAAAATGCCAACACTCCAACAGCCAGCCATGCAATTGCACATCCATCCATGCCATGCAATTTGAGAAGTACTACACACACACAGGCAATCAACCCAGCGAGCCTCTCCCTCACTGTTGGCCGATCCCCTGCCTGCCTGCCTGTCTGTCTGCCTGTCTGTTTGTCTGCGCGTCTGATGTCCACGGCTCTTTGGTGTGGACGACCAGACCAACACGCACAGATACATACGCGAGGGAGAGGGAGGATACATTGTGATATATATAAGGAGGAGTGATGGGTCCCGAAAGCCTAGTAGCTTTCTGCTTTTCTGCAGGGCCTGCCTGGCCTGTCCATCAGAGCAAACACAACACCCAAACACTCACACATGGAGAGAGACATCATATGTGACGAGCAACGCAGTATATATACACACAGACATACATACGTACGTACACACACACATACAGATAGATGTATATGTACACGCCGTGCCGTGCCGTGCCATGCACCCACCCTACCCCGCCAGTGAGTGCCTTCCTCGGCTGGGCTGGGCTGGGCTGCGTTGCGTACACCATATCAATCGCATCGCATCGCATCAGCCGGCCGGGACAAATGTATGTGCAGCAGTAAAGAAAGAGCAAACCGACTGAAGCCGGCATGATCCTGGCTGTGGTGAGTGACACATGCATGTCTGCGCCATGCATCCCCCCTTTTCGGCCTTGTCATGCATGTGACTGCGCCATTCTCACTGAACCCATTTGAAGTGAAGTGAGTCACACCTACCCTCCCCCCTCCTCCCTCCCATGTGCACTGGAGAACAAGTCCGGAAAAGCCCACACAGATGAACCACGGCCGCCCAGATCACCACCTGCCCCCCTCTGCTGCCGCACACCCGAAGGCGACAGTCGGCTACTCTCGTCCTTGCTGGCCAGAGGGGTGGTCTGTGCGTCGGTGCCTGTCAGAGGTCGCTTCCATATGTCGCTGAGAGGCACCGGGCGGTCCTCGGCCTTGTTACAGACAGCCGACAGACCAGTACTGGCGTCCCATGCGCTGCCGAGGGAGGGCGAGGGAGAGGGTGAGGGGCTGGACGGCTCTTTGTGGTCGTGTGTGGGTGAGGAGGAGTGGAAGGGGAGGGCGGGAGAGATGTCCATGGCAGAGAACAGACGGGCCAGCTCCAGCTGCTCCTGGGAGCAGCAAATAGGAGGAAAGAGCGAAGAATGACCGTCGGTTGTGGGCCTTCTTGTGTGGCAATGCATTCGTGGGTGCGGCCGGGCTGGCTCACCTTGACGTGTTTCTGTGCGTTTTCCTGGTCGGACTCCCTCTCGCGCCGACGGTTCTTCTTGCGCTTGGCGTGGGGGTGGTGACCTGACAAACACACACACACACACACACACACATATACACACAAGCGCCCATGATAATCGAGGCCAAGCAACGGCTCCTCTGTGCGTGGGTTGGCTCACAGAAGAGGCATAGGAAGCCGTTCCTGCATCCCTTGGTGTGGACGAATGCGCACGGCTTGCATATGCCCTCGTCATGCAGCGGGGCCATGGAGCCGACAGACAGCAGATTGCCGTTGTCGTCCCGCGGTATCCTGCTGATGAGCTTTGGGGTTATCCGCAGGTTTGGGCTCAACGCCCCCGTCGACAGGGCCACAACAAGCTGAAATATGGGACAGACAGACAGCCAGCAGACGCAGCCAAGAATGCACCACCGACGAGACCCATTCGTGTGTGTATGTGAAGGAAAGGGGCCTACCTCTTGCACGACGTCGTCATCGTCTTCTCCCTCCGTGCCGTCCACACCAGACAACAAACCTTCCTCACACCTCGGACCTTCACCCGGCAGACCATTATTCCCACTCAAGCCCCCAGCCCGCAGCCCAAACAGCCCCCCCATTGCAGGCGGCGAGAACACCTCCTCGTTGGACGAGGCTTCGCTCGCTATGGTCCGGCTAGACACAGCGGCCGACACGGCCACAGGGGTGGGCGACAGGGGAGAGGGGGAGGGGGAGGGGGCCGACTCGCGGTCGAGGGGCAGCTGGGGCGGCACCTGCTGGGTGTGGTCCAGAGAAACGCTCCTCCTCTGCATGAAGGGGGACGTCGAGGGGAACAGAGACCTCTCAACGAAGTAATGATAGTGCGGCGTGTCGTCAGTGGGGAAGGGCTGTTGTGCGATGGTGCGGCCTGCCGCCGCGCCCGCCTCATACGACGACATATTGACCAGAGGGGTCAGGCCGTCGGCAGCAGAGTGCACGGGGAACGACGATGCCGCTGCCGCTGCCGCTTTGCTCGCATAGCTGTCGAGGGTATATAAGTAGGCCGTGGGATGCTGCCGCAAGACCATCCTCGCTTTGGACGGACGGTCCTCTGGCGTGTAGGGCGGGGGAGGGGGTGGAGGAGGG